AAAAACTAAATCTAACCATTAGATTTTTTTTTTAATATTCATTGGATGATAGAATATTTTTAAAATTAAAACTTTAATTTTTTAAGTGAACCGAGATGATAACACCACAAATTCTTTACATAAAATTAAACCAAGTATACACAGGACAAAGATTGAAGCATAAAATCTCATGAGAGTGGGAAACCACCACCTTGCGTGATATTAAAAATAGAGGAAAAAAGGGTCACGGCGAAAGTTAAGAGTTAGCCAGTTATGGATGATTTTCCCTCGGTAATTGTCATGGTAATCCTGCTTTCTTCTGTCTTGATCACATGTATTGGGAAACAAATTCCTTTTTTTTTTTTTTACAATGGGGTTACCAAAAATATATATATATTTGAACATCGGAGAATTATCCAAATAAAATCTGAAAAATCAAGACATTTCATTGCAATCATTTGTTAAATATGTATTAATTAAAAACTTATTTAATATATAATTATAATAAATATATTGACTTTAAAATATCTTAATTTTTAATTTTTTATGATGAAAATAAGAGATATTTTTAAATAATTAATTAAAGTTAAATTTTTAAAAAAATTAAAAATAAATAATTAGATCTAAAAAACTCAATTTCAATAGAGATAAAATAATAATGGAAGGGACGAAATTGAGAAACGACGAATGATGTAAAAGTCAAATTAGTAATTACACTATATCTTTTTTATCACTTATTGTTCTTTAATTTCGTCTTCCTCTTTCGTCTTTCCCATCATTACTCATAGAGATACATACAGCTAGCATTATTATCATATTTAATTCGTACTACTAATAATTAGCATGACATATGGAGTACAATATTGGATCGGGGGTTCATACGTCGGACCCACACCAATTGGCCCTCCCTTCTAAACATTTTCATCTTCTTCGCATCACAGCATCCCATCCAGGTGACTCTACTGTAGCCTCCAACTTTCTAGCCAATTATAAAATTCAAGCCGTGATATGGTGCGCATTTTTATTAAAACCAGTACATTTTTATTGAAATTAATATATTTTACTCTGTATTTTATAAGAATTATTTCTTCACAAATGTTGGCGAGTCCACGTTCTAAAGATAAAATAAGAATAAAATAAATATATAATGTTATTATTATAATATTATGTAAGAAAGAAGATTATATTAATAAAAATTTATTTATATTAATATTTATTAAGTTAAAATTTTTAATTTAAGATTAAAGTAAAAAGTTTAATTTTTTTTAATTTTTAGGCTTTAATAACA